GGAATAGCAAGTGGTGATAATCCTCGGTTTATTTAAAGACAATAAGATGAATTATCGTATTGCAATTTCCCTCGTATTTTAGAAAATCTCGTCGGCATCAAATCAAAAAATAGAAATTTCTAATTTTACCGAAAATCTGATAGTAACCGGACATTTTTAAATAATCAAAGTCAATCACCGATTTTATTTACAATTTTCAACACGATAATTTGCAAATTCTGCACACAATTATTCAACAATTTTTATTTATAACAATTATTTAACGTCAATAACTTTCGCACGTATTTTCTAAAATTATTAAATATTCATAAAATTTTAGAAAAAACAGGAAAATTATTGCATGATCATGACATTTTGGGGCTATTAATAATATAAATAATGTAAAAATAAAATGCAAAAATTGTTTTTTTTTTTTTATTTTTTTCGCGTAAATTCGATGGATAATTTGAGGTCAGAACATCTTTTGAGGGTTCGATCTGATTGAAAAATGTGAAGATGTCAATAAAATGGAACATGGAAGACATGACCATGTGAAAGATTGCGATAAATAAAGAACAATTGGCGTTTCGCCAATGCGGAGATGAGGAAGTGGAGAGGGCGCGCCTTCAAGGCGCAATATTACCCTCATTTTCCTCTCATTGTTCTCATTATTTTTTATTATTTTTTTTTCCACCTCTCTCTCTGGTTCATCCACTAATTCCCAACTTTCAATCCGGCGAACTAATAACCGTGATAATGTTACCGAAGTAATCCCTTTTCAAATAGCCGGTGCAACTTTCCCCTTTTTGTTGTTGAATAAAAAAGTGCAGTGATAAAAAGAATAAAAAAAACGCCCAGCGAGGAAAAAATATTGTTGTCAGACTAATTTATTAACTCCGGGATAATCCGCGGATAACAAATGGAAATATTTGCATTCGTTTACTTGTTGAATTTTGTTGGGGGAATTTTTAATGAAAAAGGAAATTAATTTGGCTGGAGGGATTATTTTTTTCGGAGTACAATTTGTTTTTTATTATTTTTCAATTAATTAAGAGTGCATTATATACTTTGGAAAAGTTATTGTTAAACGAATTAGTAACAATCCTCTTTAGACTGCAGAGCTTGAAAAATATTTGCATTTAAAAAATTGTAATTCTATTATAAATGCAGGGGATTTAAATAATTTTAATTTGTTAATATCTCGAAAACTGTCGAGCCGATTACAATTTTTCACCTCTCAAAATATTCGTCCTGGTGTACTCTACCCCAATCAATCAAACTGTACACCTATCCATACTAAGTTTTCGAGATATTCCAATTTTTCTGTTTTTTATTTTGAATTCAAAACGTAATCCGTAAAGCGTTTTGTAAAATTGATGCGTCAACTCGTTTAACTCCTTTTTCTGACATTTTAATTGTATTTTTCTCCCATGTATTGGAACTCTCAGTGGCAAAATGCGATATTTACACAGATCTTTCCCATCCAGTAGTATGATTTTAACGAACTGAAGTTGTGCTGCCTAACGAGCACAATAACAACATTGAATATACGCCAATATCCGCTCCAATATCCTCTGTATTCTGCAGAGGGGCGTTACCACTTGTCACTAAATAAATTCTCGTTCTCGGGAAAATCTACCGTTTTAACGTGAATATTCACTCGAGTTGATGACTTGTTTTACTCATTTATTTTTCATTTGTTGCAGATTTTAAACGGCTGAGAAAATGGGTTGCATGTCGAGGTGTGCCAAGTACTTCCTCTGCTTATTCAATTTTGTCTTCTTCGTAAGTATTTCAAATTTACTAGATCATTTTAGCTCTCATCATAAAATATCAATCAATCAATCATTTATTTCATTAACGCCACAAAAATTTTTGTTTTTTTTTCATCATTTTATCCTCACCTTCACAATTTTTTTCGTTCTCCAAGTTCTTTTAATAATTTCATAAGTTCATGTAATTAATTAATTATTTAATTAATTAATTAATTAATTATTTTCATATCGTATAATGTAATTGGTAATGCAATTCAGTTTTTATGAGAGTTTTATGTAGAGAGTTTTTGGAGTTATGGAGAATAATTTGAATTTAAAAAAAATCGAGGAGTCATAACTTTCATTTCTGTTTGAAGTATGATAAGTACGTCACTTTCTCATGAATGAAAATTACTCATACATCATTCACAAACCGTTTCGAAGCCCGTGAACGCCATTTCACGATGATGATTTTCATATTTCATTGCATGTTACAGTTTGTGAGTGATTTATTAATGGACTGCTAGAATTTTCTTGAAATTTCAGTCATATGTCATTAGAGGATTTAAATTATGACATTTTCAAACCGACGGTAGTGGCCGTGCGGTTAGAGTGCTAGACTAGCATGCCAGAGATCCGGGTTCGATCCCGGGCACCGGCGGTCAAAAATTTATAGCGCTCTGATCTCACGGTTCCACTGCCGAGCGGTAGTCCTGTCAAAAGGACGACTGTACCTGGGCAGGTTTTTTCCCTCAGATGAGGTTTTTCCCTCCCTTCAAGCAAATGCGGTACAGGCGGTTGGGGGGGTGGGAAGGGAACCAACTAACCGTAAAGACCCGAAAGGGTATACGAGAGAAAATAAATTTTTATGACATTTTCAATTCAATTCCCGTTGAACAAATCCTCTAATTTTTTTTATCAATCTCAAAAATTGAAAAACATTAATTATTAGTTTGATTTTTTTTTTTATCTTTAAATGAACTGAAAATCTTAGAAATTTTCGCCTGAATTTTTGGGTTGAAAAAAATGACTTGAATATTTAACCAATGATTTCAAAAAATCATTATTTTTCATTCTCAAATAAATATTAAAATTTTTTTGTTGGCTAATTTGTTAATGAAGAATGATTTAAAAATTTCAATCTCCACATAAAAAATTTGTTATTGCATTGCAATTAACGAAATAACCATTTAATTCTTAAATTAATTAAATTTAATGTATTTTAATAATCAAAAATAAGAGATCAATTGTCGAATGAAAAAAAAATCATTGTGCGGCAGAAATCCGGTAATCTGGAACAGCAACTCGGGAAATGTTAATTAATATTTTTTTTTCGTTATTTCCATCCTAAAAAGACTTTTAATAAATGACCCGTCGGTTCAGACCGATATTTTATCTCCATGGAAAGCAGAATAATTATTCACGGTTGAGACTTTCAAATTCAAATGCAACTATTTCTTTTTGGTAATTTTCAACAAACGGTCGACTGATTCCAACAAAATTATATTGAAAATCTGTTCATTTTTCTTTTAGTGAACAAATTATAAATTCTAATTTATAAATAATATTCCAGAAACAAACTTTTATTGCGTTATTATACTATTACTATATTTTTTTCTGGATCGTTAGGAAATTACTTCTGAAATTTTACATTTAAAAAATGAAAGTTTTTAACAATAACGATTTTACATAAATTTTATTTACATTTGTTGCTGAAAACTCCAAATATCCGATTGTTAATTTGTAAATATCTCTTAAACTGGGGGAAATAGCGATATATTCGTAAGGACCTTTTCCGTAGTCCTTAATTAGCCCTGCAAAAAAGATTTTGACAAAAATTTCGATATCTTCCTTAGTATCGGAGATATTGCCAAAAAAAAACTGACAGGAGTGTTCACTTCAATATTAAAACCCCCAGAATCGATATATCGCATTTCTGCCAGTAAATTGTTGATGAAAATTATAATAAATTGCAATCGTCTTTTTGCAAGCTATTATTTCACAAGTAATTTATTTATTTTAGCTTGCTGGTGGTGCAGCGTTAACCGTAGGAATATGGCTCCTAGCAGACAGGACTTCGTTCACCAATCTCTTCGCAAAAATGGATGGAGGAGACTTACTGGTGAGTACCTTAAGATAAAAAACTAAAAATAAAAAGCAACAACTGTCCTCAAAAGCCGTAAATTCTTTGTAACATGATGCCTTCCGAAAAAGGTGAATCCCCGGATTCGCATAATTCACGATTTGGTGGGGAATTTATGAGAGGCCAATCCTGTCCACAAGACAGGTTGCCATAAAATCTACTCGACCACCTGTTCGCATCGTTTTACGCAATTTAGTGCTCCAAATACCTTATGTCGTTTCTCAGCCCTTCTTACTCTCAACTTCCCTTCTTTCTGCATTTTTAATTCATTTCTCGACTACCGGATGTCGCAGTTTACGTAGATATCAGATTAAAGACTTTAATCACCAGGAAACTGATGATCATTATCAGGTAGCACCATCGCGGAAGGATGTGTATTGAAATTTATTATTTAGTTCGTTGGAAATCCGTGGATTTGTGATTGAGGTATTATCTAAGGCTCGAGTGAGGTTCTGTTAACGAATCGTGGGAAGTTTGTCAAAGTGGAGGAAAACTTATCGGTGATTTTCAGTGGTGTTACTCGATAATATTTCAAGGACATTGGGGTCTTAGCTGATGGTGATAATTCACCTGCGATGATAAATTATAATATTGTTGGATGTTAGGTTGTTTGAGGGTGTGACATGAGGAAGAGTGAGACACCCCGCGAATTAGAAAAGTCCAGATGTCCAATTCTCCATGACAATAAATTTTTGTCAATTATCCTCATGCCATTGTTCAACGATATTCCTCAAAACATATTGTTTAATCACCATTTATTACGGTGCTATGTTTTTTTTTTCAATGGGTTAAGCGTGAATTTTTATCGCTGTTTAATCGATTTCAGTGCCTTTCGCTGGTTTTCATGCGCCACCCAATCTACTGTATACATTTTTCATTAATTATATTCACTCCATTCACTTCCAAGGATTTATCATAAAATTCAAGAATATCAATAAGATGAAGATCTTTGAGATAAATGGGAGTAAATAGTAGATATGTACAGGTTGGGGGGTAGGTACTACTTCAAAAGGAAAATTGAAAACTTTCCAGGAATTTTTTTCATCTAAATCTACACTTTCCTTTTGACAATTAAGATTCAATGGAAATCTCGAGGAAATTTGCGTCAATTCTTTCTGCATCATTAAGAAAACCGGGGATTTCCCCAACTTTCCAGTGACACAGTTGTTCCTCAAGATTCACTCGTCATTGCATCCACAAATCTCGATTTCTTTAATTTTTCGCCGTCTTCTTGCTTTCAAATCCCAAATACTTTTCAATTTCCCCTTGTAATTGCAGTATTTATTGCAATACAAAAAACGCAACATGAATTTAATGAAAAATCATGGAAGAGAAAGAATCGAAAATTCTGGAACTCAAAATTTATTCTTCAAATACGAAAGCGATTTAGAAAATTTATATTAAAAAATCGTATTAGAATATTCAATTCAGAAATTTTCATATTAAAATTTCGATAAAAATAATCGAAAGGTGTAATAAAATTTTACAACAATTCCGCAAAATTTTTCCCAACGATTTTTCATTCCGGAATTACAAAAAATTTACTTTAAATTTTAAATGTCCCTTGATCTTCAAAATTGGAGACTCTGGTGCACCTGACGCAACACTTTCGTCACACCTGATTTATATAACCTGATCACTTCCCCCCGATTCATTCGATTCCACCGATGGAATCGGCTTTCGTATCATTTCCCACGAGGCAATGATATTACCACGCCCTCATTGCCCTTTTCGATGAACAATGCATTTTCACATTATTGTCGCATTTTTATTACTACGTCTTAAAATTTTTTTTTCAACTATTTGTTGAAAGCGCTCATTCCTCAATTTATGATACATCGTCGTTATTTACATCTCATTGCATGAGTAAATTTTGCAGTAAAACGTAAATTTATATCCGATTTCGTTGAATTTAGTTGTCAAGTAATGAATAGTCGCATCATGAGGGAAAATACACTCCAGTCAAGTATATTTGATTCAAGTATACTTGATTTTAATATACTTAATATCGGAGTATATTTGGATGAAGTACGCTTGATTCAAGTACTTTACTTGATCCAAGTACTTTACTTGATCCAAGTACTTTACTTGATCCAAGTACTTTACTTGATCCAAGTACTTTACTTGATCCAAGTACTTTACTTGATTCAAGTTCTTTACTTGATCCAAGTACTTTACTTGATTCAAGTACTTTACTTGATCCACGTATACTTGATTCAAGTATACTTGATTCAAGTGTACTTATCCAAGTATACTTGAATCAAATATAATTATTGGAATTGATATATATTTCCACGAGCATCCTCGAATCAAGTATACTTGCCCCGCGTATACACACCTGCAAGTATACTTGATTCAAGTATGTACCGAACACGTGTCTTGATTCAAGTGCGCAGTCGCGGAGTGCTTGCATATACTTGAATGTACTGTCGTGTAAAGTATACTTTAATCAAGCATAAAATATATTTGTATCAAGTGCAGAATATACTTGAATGAATCATCATTTTTTCTTTCACATAAAATTGTTCTATCGAGAGAAATCTAGCGTTCAAGACTTAAAAATTTTTTTGAAAATTGAAATTCTTTCGGAATTCAAGACAATGAATATTTCATTTTTAATATCATATATTTTCCGATGACACCTCCTGAAATATATCACGATCCAAATATATCCGCGATATTTTTAGCGGAAAAAATTTATTTCATGATCATAACTCTTTTTCGGTGAGTTAGTGTAACTGATTGAGTATTACAAGACCAATCAATTTAATTAACTGATCAATCAAAAAGTTTTTATTCCCATTTTCTTGCTGTTCAATTCAATCGCGAGCGGTTATGGTCGGAGGAGAAAACACTTTACAGCCTGTCGTTAATTATTCACCATGATTATTGAGTTTTTACAACCAATTTACACGTCCTTAATATAGCGTCAATTTATACTCTCACTGGAAATTTTGATTCTCTGGTGTACCATGAATTCACTATGAAATTATTCATTTATATCATTTTTCTTATTTTTTATTGTACAATTAGCGAAAAAATCATTTGATCATCTTTATATTCTCATTTTAATTGGGAATATCCGGCTTTGATCAATTAAGCAGTAATTTACAACGCAACCCATTACGACAGACATAATTTCCCTCATCACATTCATGATTCATTGGCATCGAATTTTTATTTTTTTCTTTGGACTTTTAAACAATTCTCATTTCAATTCAATGCTTTTTTTTATTCAGTAGATTTATATAATTTTGTTGTTAAATATTCCAACGATTTTCACGGTTTTCTTTTATTCAATTCTCAATTCAATTTTCCATTTTCAATTTTCGTATCAATAATTATTATTTGCATCCCATTACATTGTAATTTCGTGGTAAAATACAATTATTGCGTTTTTTATTCGCAATAATTATGAAAATTTATTTTTACTGAAATAAATAATTCATACAAATCATGGAATTAATTAATCAATAATTGTTCATGGAGACGGATAATTTCTTTTATCAAACGAATTTACAAATTACAAAAAATATAAATATGTTTATAAATCGACTGGGAAGAAGTGATTTTTTTTCTAACTTTAATAATCGCTTTCATTTTATAATTATTTAAAAATACAATGCGATACATTTCATGTTTTTTTTTTAATAATATTAATAGATTTTTACATCACGATTTCACGGATCGCCGATGGGAATAGGAAAGCGTTTATAATTATGCATTAATGTTGTTTAAGTTGCACGCAAAGTCCACTATGAGAGCGAAAACAAAAGTTCTAATTAATAATTTCAAGTAGACGGTGAAAACAAGTTCAAGTGCGGAAAACATTACATAATGCACAGAAAAAAATTATTACTCCAACCAATAAATTAACTTTTTACAAATTAACAAAAAAAAAATCCACAAGTTTAAAATGCGACTATTCCTTTAAACATTTAACATTTCACAACAATAAACAATTACTCGCCCCAACAAAATTAACTTTCATTAATTTTGTATTGCAATTTTTAGTTGGAAATTCAGATAAAAATTACTGGAATTAATCGACTAATAAAACTGCAGGTTTTATATTTTAATTAAACAATTACGTGATTGTCTTTTTGATAAAAAATTGCCGTAATTTCCAAAATGAAACCGTGAATGCGTTATCTTTGAATCAATAAAAATTTTATTTAAACTTTACGTGATTTTCTGGATTTCTCTCGCAGTACAATTTCATGCTTTCTTTGAATGTCCGAGTAAATTGAAAAATAATTACACTAAATGACAATTTCACTCGCTATTTGAACACCTTAACGGTTGAGTAATTTCATAATTAAACTCCTTCGTAATGAAAGTGAGAAAATCACAAGCTTTCATTTTAATTTCCAAGTCCTTAAATATTAAACCAGAGATATTTATTTTCAAAGGGGTTTGAGAGTCTTCACTTGGCGGATGTTTTCCCGGGTTTCTCACGAAAATCAATAGCCCAAATTGCCCTTAGGGAAATTAAATAAAAGTCCCACCGGCGAGTTTTTTTAGTTCCCATAGTTAATTAAAAACTTTTCTCTTGATATTTTTGAGAGGCAAAAAATTCACGCAACCGTTAGTTATTCAGATATTACTTGGAATTTTTTATATTGCTCCACAGGGAAAAATTATTTTATACTGGGAACAACAATTTGTCAAGTATTTTAACCAGGAAAATTAATGTCAATTAATCAGGCTGGAATAGCCTCGGGGAAGGTGTCACCAGTGGGAAATTTAATCGGAGTCCCAGAGGGTTTTTTGAAAAACTGTTCAAATTTCATTTAAAAAGTTTCTCTTTCGATTTTCAAGAGACGGAAAATAAAAAATAAAGTAATTGTTTACAAATTTAAATAGGAAAATTGTCATTTTCCGCAGGGGAAAATCGAGTGTAAAAATACTGAATGAAAATAGAAAAAATCTTTTTCAAAAATTATTCAAACTCATAAATAAATAAATAAAAGTTTCTC